CACTTTTCGAATGGTAAATATAACATAAGACATATACATCTTTCTCTCTTATATACCCACACACTTTCTCTTCCTCTCTCGTACATAAACACTCGCTACTCTTACCATCTTTTTCCCTCTTTCGAACTATGTGAAATCTTCATCATACAATATTTTATTATACCCTATGATTAATCTTATTCTACGTTCTGCCTTATAATTAAAGAGAAGTTGCACAATTACTTACATTATGTACGGGTGGCTTCTCGAGCTTGAAAAAGGTATGTGTGTACATATATACTTCACATATATAACGTTACTTCATTTCGCTTTGCTCTACTCTACTCTTTCTCGCTGCAACCTACATTTTTCTCTTCATTTCGCTTGCATCGTCTACAACCGATGCACATCTTAGTCTCTTGATGTAATCGCATTTGCGCTTAATCGCCTTACGATATATATCAATTTATTTGAATAAACATCCAATCGAGGTTTGGATAAATCCGTAGCGATGTGACACATGAATGTTATCACATAGTAGTTTTTTTACACAGAAGGGCGAAAATCGTACGATTTATTCGTTCAACTCTCGCATTAACTACTTCCTGTGTATACGTGTATGTAAATATATGTATATATTTACATATATATTTTTCCGATATTTTTTTTATTTTACATTGGTCATATGATTTTCGTCCCTAAAGCGTAATTCTTGCAACTGTACAAGTGAAGGGCACCTCAAGTTATGGCATTTTTTCGTTAGGAAGCAATCAGAAGCAACTACGGCTAAGGTTATTTTCATCTTCAGATCCTTGAAGACGAAGATAGCCTTAATTGTGATAGCTTCTGATTAGATAACGAAAAAACGCCTTTATTATAATAACTCGCCTTTTTCCCTTGCACAGAGCGACTGTTTCGCATCATACATAATATATATATATATATATATATCAGCGTGTATGCATGCGATAGAAAATGCTACAAACAAATAAGCACCTCTCGAAAGAGATCGTAAAGATTGGATAAAATCGCGCCGATTAGATTAGTCTTTTTACCATCTTTTACGACTTCTTCAGATTTCTTTAATGATTTATTCAACACTCATCACAGAT